GTCTGATTTATGTATAGTGGTGGACAAAAATGACCAGAATATGTTAATTGAACAAATTGAACGATAATTGACTTGATGATTGGGGCTAAGGGAGTTTAAAATCTAATTAAAGGCTGATTTGTTCATCTAATAGGTGTAGCGAAGTAGGTTAATTCAAAGGCAAAGATCGTTTTTAGAATATTAACTGTGATGTTTGTTAAAAAATAAATAAATAAAGCTTATAATTCTTATAAACAGTCCCTATTGTAAAAATGAAAAATACTGAGTTGAGAAAAATGGGTAAGCTCAACTTTCCTGTGGCTTTGGACTTCAGAAAAAATGTCTCTGCATGAATGTCAGAAAACCAGTGGAGCCATAAAGACCCCTAAAACATTCCAGGTGATGAAGTTTCCAATGTGCTGTCAGCCTGTAGATAACTGGCGAACAGAGGGGTGCGCACCGTCTCCCTCTGCATTACTGTATGTTGTCTGTGAATGTGTTGGAGAGGGAAGCATTTTAAACCTAATCCACCAAACAGCAGGACAGAGCATATGTGCCCAATCACACACAGAGCTGTGCTCCAGCTCCAACAACAGGGTCTTCTCTCATGTCCGTGCAAGCTGCAGCATCTGTTGCCCCTGGCAATTACATGATAGCAAGAGCCAAATTTCATTTTTTAGGACTCGTTCTCTCAGTTTTTTTCTTTTCCAGGAAACAATTTCTCTGATTTAGCTTTATCATATTGTGTCCTGCCAACATCTCTCTGCAACATCTCCTTCACTTACAGCAGTGACCTCCCCATCACCCCAGAGCTACTCCAGTTACTTTACCCTGAGCTAGTGTGCAGATGTTGGAGTTTACTCTGGACACCAAACAAACACATTCCCATGTTCCCACAAGAAGTAAAAAAATCAATAAGAAGAGAACATATTGGAAAACATATACAGTACAGAAGGCTTTCTGTATTTCATTTATCTACAGTCCATAGCTGAAGAATTTATCTTTCCCTTTTGTGATGAAACAAATGTTTTTCAACTTTTGTTTTTACTGAAGGATTATCTTAAATTACATTAAAGTCTTAGAGCTTAATCATCATTAGATATTTAACTGTTTTAACTGGGAATTTTTATCCAATAACTTCTGACACAACCTTCCCTGTTTAAGAGGTGCAGGAAAATGCCTCACCATCTTACTGTCAAACTACACATTTCATCAGGAATCTTTTCCTCATTTTGGAAGCTGAAGCAAATTTCAAAGTCAGTATTTTGTCTTTCTAAGATCATCAGATAATCCATATTTTTTTTATTTAGTATGACAACGTCTCCTAACATCCTCTTTGCCATTACAATGGGACAGACCAGAGGACACATTATTCCAACAGAGCAGATAACCTTTATAAGTCTGGAAACAACTATGAAGAAAATACAAAAGGAGGAAATAATCAAGATGTTAAGAACGACTGGAACTGAACAAATAAGGTTGGAAAAACAATCTAGAAATACGTAAAAACTTCCTAAATTAAGTGTATTTAACCTTAATTTGAGTAGGTAAATAAGATGATTTGCCAAAGGAATTTGTTTTTTACTCTTAAATAAGATAATTAGATAATATGTACTTAAGAAAAGAAAGTGATTGGTTTGTCCTATTTTAAATGTAAATTGTGTTGTTCCATTGGCAAAGTGTCTCACTTACCTCCTCAATACAAGACAAATGCACTTATTTTAAGAAAAAAAATGACTTATCTGGATTTTTATTTTATGCAGCATTAAACCGCAGGACAGTGAGTTTAACCGCTGGATGCCCAAATATATTTATTTATTTTACTACATATATGTGTTTTACCTTTAACTAGTTGCTTAATTGAAATTTTTAAAAGTTTTACTTATTTCAAAAATAAATAATAGTTATATTAAAAATTATTGACAAAATTCATGACGGTCAATGAAAACATTCACCATTAGGAACCTGTTGTAAGGGAAACAAGCTTGCCAAAGGTTTCTAGGTCCACAATGACTGTTTAAATACTTGCATTTACGGAATGTACCTAATACAAAGGGTTGGTTGCATATTTGCAGAAATGGGCGTCAAGTGCTAAAGTGTGCCCAATGAAACAGATACGTTTTTACATACTACTAGGAATAAGGAAATACAAAAGGGGCTGTAAAACTGGTCGATTTGTTGTTTTTACTGAAGTCAAAAGCTCTCTTGTATTTTAAGCTATTTTATCCCATTTTATTGGTGTTGATTTAAATGAATAACACACAGGAACCCTAATAGCTTATCCCTAATAAATGTCTTTCTTCAGAATTCTTCAGAAACTTTGACCCTTATTAAATGAATTCTACAACCTTTAAACATATTATAGAAAAGTACAGAATATGATATTTATATCTTCCAGGCCTGAAAAAGGAAAAGAAACTTTGAAATGGAAACACTGTGCTGTTCGTCCCTCTCTCTATTCAACACATTTAGTCCATTAAATCCTCTTTTCTACATTAAAAACCTGATCCGTCTAGAAATACCTGCCTTAAGCTGTTATACTGTTCATTCAAAAATTAAATTCATTAAGAAATCTAGGAATTTTAGCATTAAAGGTCCTTGTGTGGAAAATTGGCCACGATCTGTATCTAATATCAAACATAATAATTTTTCTAAAGTGAAATGATTTCATTAAATGCTACATTATGCAGGTTTTTCTTCATTTTAAGAACAGTTTGGAACATCTTCTGAGGCGACTGTCCATTCATACAGCCTGTTTCCATGCTGTGTACTTGAGCACCCTCTAGCTGCAGAACAGATGCAATTCCATTTACAGGAATCATATTTATTAGTGCAGATTTTACAGCTCATGTGTGTCCCATCATAGCAGAGAACTGGGGTATAGCTGAATTCATGTTTAAGAAATGAGATCATTATCTCACATATAAACAGTATGTATTAACGCTTTTCCTATGTCACATATGCATCAGAGGAGTAGAAACAGCAGCAGCAGCGCAGTGAGTGGGCGATATCCCCAGTGCCATGAAACATCTTGCATCCCACATGCTTATATAACTCCCTCTCTACCTCCTCCAGCTGATCACTCATCACTTTATCCACTGCTGGGAAGGAAAAACACCACTTCTAGCCCTGCTTTCCATCTCTCTCAGTCAAATCAGCCGAGCAGGCGCCCTGCAATCCAGCATGATTTTGATAAACGTTCTGCATTAAAAGCCCCGTCAATCAAATGAGATCAAGCTGCAGTAAATCACAGCTCCAGTGAAGATTTCATGTCGTAAACACTGGATAACAAATCCCAACTACATCATTAGAACTCAGGCAACAAACCTGGTTATCAGCAGGAGTGCTAATGATCACAAGAGGAGACAATTCAGCAGCAGCTTATCACCAGCAAAACGCTAAAGAACTAGAGCGTTATAAGGTAATGACAGGCTAGCCAGGCTGCACTTGCTCTGTTTGTATTGTCAGCACACAATGCACATTAATGAGAAATGCCCAGTGGGTATTCAGCACTGCGCAGCATCCTTCTCACACAGGTCATCTTCAGATCAGCTCACTGTAATATAAGTCAAAAAGGACCGACAGATACTGATGCATGTAGTCTCCTCTGCAGCATTTGATTATTTATACATCTGTTATCCATGTTTTCTTGTTGCATCATTTCAGATACAAAAATCTGGTTGCCTACATGTGTCAGAGCAACTTGGCTCTGAAAAACCTGAGGAAGAAATACAAAATGCTTGATTGATGTTATGAAACTAAGACTGAATCTAGCATTAAGTAGGCGGGCCATATTGATGTAATAGGAGCCTGTGTTGTACAACTAATTAGATTATCTTTGTGTCACTGAGTGGGTTTGTTTATGTGAGTAAGGGGGGGAGGGGGGATGTGTAGAAATAAGGGTGTTTGTGTTGAGTGGGCGTAGGTTAGCGAGTTTGTCACCTGGAGGTGCAAAATTGTTAGAGTGGTGTTAACGGTAGAATACAGACAGCAACCAAGAGCAGCAAAGGAGAGGCGGCCCCGGCTCTGAGAGGCTGCAGGGGCCCCGGGATTAAAGACCTCAAGCATCACTCCAAGGCAGCCATGCAGACTACACAAAGACCCCAGGCCAAGGAGGCACAGTGTGAAACGTAGGGCAGAGAGCCCTCCTGACTCAGACACACTGCTATCTTCTGTTGCAAAGAGCAAAACAGCCCAAGGTTGGCAACAAGAATTACATTTAAAAAAATCAATCAGCTTAGGTCAACAGGTAAAAAATATCCTTACCCTACAAACATTATTAACAACGTAATTGATGACAACCAAGGTGATACCAAGTACTGCACAGAAGTGTAATCTTTAAACATCCATAAAAAACTAAAGACATGTTGAAAGGCAGAGAATATAAAGGTTTTTATACGGAGCCTCTTCAACAGAATGCGAAAGTCTACTGAAGACAAAAAAAAAAAGTTTGCATGACGGACTCTGTGGAAAAGAGAAATTCATCTGCAGTCAACTGCTGCTGGAGTAAAAAAACCTTGGATGAGTGGCAGCATAGTGGTTAGGGCATAGAGCTTGGAATCTTGAGGTTCTGAGTTCGAGCCCCACTCCCACAGACTGCCACTCTGGGTCCCTGTGCAAGACCCTTAACCAAGGCATGGATTAAATGCAGAGGTAAATTTCTCCAATGTGAGATCAATAAAGTTCAGTTATTTGTTTATTCTATTATGTAACCATCCTAAGCACCAGTTAAATCCAGTGACTGAAGGCCAAAGACCATCATTTCATCCATGCCAATCCTGAGTCTATGCAAACCTCTTTGACAAGAAGCTTGGATCTAAATTCCACCAAAAGCTGAGAAACAAACCTTTTATATCACTTTTATAAACTTGCTTCATTTTGGATTATTTCAGACAGACTGTTTTTAATAATGCAGCAGAGCCATTAGTGCAGAGAAACTCTTTTTCTGTCCCCAGTCTCCATAAAAGCAAAGTATTTGAGGCTCCAGGATGTTTTTTTCTCTGAGAGACATTTCAACTTACATTAATCAGCTCAATCTCCCAGATCTTCTTGACCAGTTCCATGGAGGTGTAACCGTTGACCAGGAAGGACTTGGTGTAATCGCCGAGCTCCAAAGACTCCAGCCACTCAGCCACTGATGTGGGGTTGTTTCCATCGTAGCCCACAGGTCGCACCTTTAAAAAGAAAGAACGTTTTACAGGGAGGGCAAAAACGTTTCTCAAGATTTCAGAAGACACTAAAGCAAAAGATTTAGCAAAATTCCTACATTACAGTAGGGTGTTTATAGCACCATGGCATGAAAACACTTTAACAGAGATCTGCTGATGGTACTGAATATAAATGAAAATAAGATCAACCTAAAATCTGCTATTGAAAACAGACTTTAAACTTTGTTATATTCATGACATCAGCCAAAACACGGTTGCTTAAATCACTTTTGAAGTAATTAAAGCTTCAACCTAATACACAAGATAAGAGCAGTACGAGGGAATATTGAAAGGGAACTACCATCAAACCGAATTTTATAAGATAAATTGCAAATGACGATGAATTTTTAAAAATCCTTCTGACTTTACAGTTAATTTGACATGAATTTTAATGTAAAAGAACATTTGCTCATTATATAAAATACTTGGCAATGTTTTCACAGTGTTCCTGTGCAAACCTAAATCATTTCATGTGTGTTTCGAGTTTCTGCCACAGACTTTCAAAAACCATAGTCTAAAAAATGCAAAAACTCTACATTTTTATAGTAAAACCAAGTAAACAAGCTTCAGTTTTGATAAAGCTCTGAATGTGACATTAACAGTAGGGGGTTACCATCCAGTGAGAAGGAGTTGGGAGCGAAGCGAATAATTAATAATTCATTCCTCTTTATTTTGACAGTCTAAACAGCTCCAGAGTTTGTTTTGCTTTAAACAAGCTTCCCACACCTTCCACCTCACATTCAGGATGTGTGTGACTCCAAAGCTCAGAGTTAAAGGGTTTCATCTTCTGTGCTCTTTGGAAAAGTTTAGTGTGAGTCAGAGGAGAGAAAATGCTGACTGGAGATCTAAGTTTGTCTCTGAGCTCATCTGACTCCTCCTTGAACTGAGTTTGAATCCCTCACTTTCATGCATTCAATATTTCACTGTGCACACTTATTGCAGTAACGACTGCTGTAAGTCATACATTTTCATTTAGGGTAGGATTTTTGCACATTTACATTTCTATGTCATATTTTTCTAAACTCACACAATATTCTGGATCCTTATAAACAAACTTAACTAACTTAAAATATGGAGAAAATTAAAATCAACTTTACTTGTCAATCTATAGTAAACAAGACTTGCATAATGTAGACTGAATGATCCCTGGCATGTTATTTGGTCGATAATGGTGCTGGGTAATTGCAAGTGAAAAAAAATAAAACACAAAATGAAGCAAGTTGACACCCAACTTTTTTACAGAACCTGCAAAGTTTGCTTGCATATGCCTGATAAGCATGCTTATGCAGAGAAAGCAGTAGTTGTAGTAGTTTCGATTTTTTATTTTATGTATTTTGCAGCAAAAGATAACCTAAATAATTTGGTGTCAATTAAAATGCAATTACCTAATAGTTTTTCTAGTATTTTAATTTGAAACTGAACCTCTTTAATACAATATTTACTAAATATGGGTTCAAAGGTGATGTTTTAGCAGTAAAAAAAAACAGAAGAGAACCACGGGCTTAAATATGACATTGGATGCTTTATTGGTTAAAACCTAAAAAGCAAAAAACAAGAGAAGAGACCATGTTTAAGAACCTCATGCCCGATTTACTACATTAACAAAAAATCTCTAAAGGCCCAAAAAGAAGGGAAATCCACCTTTATAGATTTTTGGATTAATGCACATTTATCTTTAGGATGTGTTTATAGTTCAACATGGAACAATATTCAAGTTTTGATGCTGTAAAAACAAAGATAAAAAATTACAAAGGCCTTTATCTTTCAGTAATGTTCCCTTTAACACATTTGCAAAAACTAATTATTAAGTTTTTCCTAAACTCATTTTTGACCCACTGATTAGAACGTGTGCTAATGATATTAGATAGCATGATGTGTGAACACATCCTTTAAGGCATAATGGGTCAAATCCAGCCCCTCAAAGCTATTCTGACCCCACGAGCCAAAAAAGAAAGATCATATTATCATAAATTAAATTCATAAAATCAAAAGTTTCAATTCTAATTGTAGCTCCTGTCCCATTACCTCACATGGGGTCAACAGTAAGTTTTTAGTTGTACTGTTTAACACACAGTATACGTAAAAAACTAATGTATTTTTGAGAAACGTCATATGGTGGGTTGTGCCAATAAGTCCTGTCACTCAAAGGATTGTGTGCAACTGTAGATTACCTAGCTTTACCTATGAAGGTAAGCAAGGTTCCTATGCTAAATGAGCTGCTGCTAGGAAGCCATGGAGCTAAGAAGTCTCTTCATAGATGATCCTAACTGCCAGCAGCATTGGGATAGCACATTATGAAAAGCTCTTCTGCTGTGTCATCAAAGGTTTGAGGTATTTGGATTGAGCCATATATATTTAGTTCCTACAGAAGGAACTGGTATGACATCACAGATTTCTAGTTCCTACAGGAAACAATGGTGTGCCATCATAGCTACCAGTTCACTGCAAGAGGAACTGTGCAACATTTATTTAGTTCTTGCAGGAAAACTGGTTTGACCAGCTCCTACATAGGGAACAACGATTACATCATAAATATTTTTATTTCTATAGAATGTACTGGTTTAATATGGAAGAACTTCTCCATTTACTCTGAACACACTGAAAACCAGTTAAACCAATCCCAGTAGATCCATAGATGTAACCAGCTCCCACATTGCTCAGACTGTCAGCTGGTTTAATGAATTTTAAATTAAGATAAACATTATTTAACCAAAATGGATCAATTTTAAATTACGAAACAAAAAAACAAAAAAAAAACAAGTTCCTACAAAGGAAACAATTAAAAAATTTATATTTATTTTTCCTCTCCACTGGTTTTCTATCCTAGTAACTTTGACACACCAGAATGGTGGATGAGGTTGCCTTAAACTATCTGGATAAATTAGCGCTACAATAGGCGGACTTTGGTAAGTTGGTTCTTGTGTGTGATTGACTTTATTGATTTAAAGTGTGTAGGTCAAGCAAAAAACTGAAAGAGCCAAAATGTGTGTATGGAGGCAAATATGGTGGATATAGTAACAGTGACGAATAAAAGTGACAATGACAGGAAAAATAACATCAACAATGAACTAGAAAAAAATACTAACTGAAGAATGAGTAACTTAAAGCATTGATTATGATGCTAATGTGACACATTAAATGCAGAACACATTAATTAGGTGTGGAACTGACCCTGGGCAGCAGCCGTATGGCCTGTAGGAGGCGCTGTCTGTGAGCAGAGTTCAGGATTCCAATTTCCAGCAGGTCTTGGTCCTCAACCACATTACTTCCCTGTAAAAATAAAACAAACAGAAAGAATTAAATTCACTCACAATAAACTGGCAACAGCTTTTAATTATGTCTGAACATATTCAAAATAAAAACACCAGCTGCTATTTTGGTTTGATGGACAACCCTCTCCATTTCTTGAACCTAACTACAGTTTCTGCCTAGCAACCAGATAAACTATCGAGTCATCTTTTAATTTTCTCCATACGGCATGACTTGGCTGGGGTTTCTGGTTCTCCGGCCATTGGATCTCATCATATGGCTTCGATGTCTTGTCTGTCTGCTGGGGTGCGGGATGCCAGCTCCCGTCATTGAGTGGGGGTCTGGGACATTGCAGGGTTTGGCCCCGTCCTTGCGGGGGTGGGGGTCAGCTGACTGGTGTGGCTGTACCGCAGATGGGATAAAATCACTGTGCCCGGATGCGCTTCCACCTGCAGTGTAGGTTTTGGCAGCTGCCTTGCTAGCTGCCCTGACCCTCTGCCGGGCGTATGCGTGCAGTCAGGTGGGGGGAAACTGAGGGTATCTTGCATCTGGGCTCGGTAGGCTGGCATGCAATACTAGGACTGGGGGGGAAATGCCTTGGTTATGATTGCCTTGCAGCCATGAGTATGAAAAGACCATATGGATGCGGAGGCCTGAAGCGGTGATAACTGGCTGGGGGCGGGTGGGGATATTTGGTAGGTTGGGTACCTGCTCTGGTGTCTTTGGGGGGGCAGGTGTGCGGTTTGTGGGGGGATGCGGTGTGGGGGCTATGAAGCTGTTTCTGTCTACTCGTGAAGTTGGGTGTTTGTTTTCTCCGCCCCCCCTACTAAACATTCTAGGCCCCAAGTATGAGCAGCGTCTGCCTCCTACCCTTTCTTATGCTCCCAGCAAGTGACAGGTTCCTGTGTCTGCTGGCGTGCCGAGGGTTTTCTAGGTACGGGATGGGCGCCGTCTCACTTCTGGTGGCTGCCGGGCCAGGCCTAGGCCTCCTCGCCCTGTGGGGTCCCTGCTAGTGGGTGGTGCACCTCCAGGCCTGGGACCCCTGGGCATGACTGTCGGCAGAGCCCATGGGCTCGCTGCCATGACCTTGTGGGATACTGGTACTATGGCCTCCAGGCGCTCTTGTCTGCCCTTCTCTGGTGGGTGCGGCCACCCCCATGTCTGCCCTTCTCGTGTCACGGTGATCGGGGTTAACTCTTGATATCCGGGATTGCATCGCCTCTTTTTTCTATCCCTGTAGGCCCTATAGGGCGAGTCTGGGGCCGCCCAAACCTGCTATTAAGCATAGTTTCCCTTTGAAGAACCTTTGTAAATACTTTATACATGAGCATGCCCATGCATACATACCACAGGAGTTTGGTTCCAGGTGTTCACACATACACACTAATACTGAATACCAAGCTGCAGCTACAGATATATACCACCAGGAATGATATTGTATAATCACCATAGGTTTTGACTTCAACACACATGGATATCTGAAAGATTCCTGCTGCTTTTAACATTTTTTTTATTTTTTATTTACTTTAGTTGTCTGTTGTCCTATTTTTAGCTGTTTGAGTTCCTCTCATTTCATACAGGTATGGAAGCAGACTTCTAGGAGTTACTGTTTATCTTATGTGTTGTCTATTTTTGCTGTCTTGTTTTATTTTCTCTGTTTTCATGCACTCTTTCCTGTCTCTCTCCCTTCCCTTAGTTCCTATCCCCTCTTTCTCTCTCACCTCCCCTTTCGTCTCCATATCTGTTGTATACAATTTTACTCCCTAAATAAATTTTATTAAAGTTTAATATACAAGTATGAAGCAGAATGTTATGGCAACAGTCATAATGGTTTACTATGAAATCAAATTTGTTAGGTTATCATCTAGCTCTGGGACACCCAGAGCTATATTGGCAAAACAGGACACGCACCAAAAAAAAAATGTATCCAAAGAATACTTTACACCAGCCGATCACATATCTGCTAATGTTAAAGACTATAATGATCAATTAATCAAAGGCTGAAGGTCAAAGTTATTGTTTGTTTTTGAAAAAACTTGTAATCTCTGTAATTGTCACACAAATACACCTCTGTATAGAAGCATAATGAAGCATAACCAGATGGATCAAGTATTTGTTTCTAAAGTCATATTGTCTGTTAACACACAGCCAGAGCTGCAGTTTAATGGTTTATATTAAAGTATATTTATGTGTTTTTTCCCCCTCCACTTTAGATTTTTATAACAGAACAATAACTTTCTGGGTTAGCAAATTAAATCACAAGAAATACAGAAAAAAAAACTGTATTAAAATCTACCCTTCTGAAACAATATTGCAAGGAATTAGTATACAAGGACCTGCTGTAAGAAAAAAAACAATAAATCATAAGTGAAGCTAAACAGAGAAAAAAGTTGATCATTTTAAATCAGATCCAAACTGTTCATCTACACCAGAGCCTGTTTAGGTATCACGCAGCGTTCACCCTTAATTACTCCAGCGGGAAGCCATGAGAGAGCTATCAGTCCTCACCCCTCTGGAGAGACAGAAAGGGGTTCTCAGGCACACAGATAATTACAGGCAAGACACGATTCAGCCCAGAGGGTTGCAGTACAGAGAACTCTGGCTAAAAATATCCTCAGGAAAAAAGATGATTATCAAGAAACAGATCTGGGGGGACTAAAAGCGGTCTAAAGACGGTCAGAGGGAAATCCACCCACCAACAACTCTTGAACTACCTGCCTGCTCTTTAAAGACTTTTGATTAGTTTAAAATTAATGAAGGCCAAAAAATAAAAATAGAAAATTCTGCTTTGCTTTTGCCACCGTAGAGGTGCATGTAAAAAAGTTAGATTTCTTTTGCCACTCATTTCAGAAAGTCAAACTCCCATCACCTAGATATATATCAAAGAGTGAAATGAGGTCCAGTGTTAGTCAACTGGGTTTCACGAAGTCCTCTGTCAATTTAACCATCAATCAAGAGCATCTATTAGAGCATTTAATGTTTCCTTCTGCTCACAAGCTTTGTGGAGATAGTGGTTTCATTTTTCCACAGGACTTGGTACATGTCCACACTGCCAAAGGTACCACCAGCTGGCCCAGTGATCATGGTGCATCTGTGCTTTTTTAGCTAACAAGCTGGTCTGACCTGAACCCCACAGACAATCTATGGATATTGCCAAGAGAAGGATGAAGGAGACCAGACCCAGCTATACAGCAGGCCACCAAAAAAAGGACCTGGGCTTCTACTTTACCTCTGCACTAATAAAGTACATAGAAAAGAAACCTACGTCACAGAAGCCTGACAGTTCTGTTTAAAAAACTGTTAATTTATTAATCTTATTTAGTAGAGATACACTAATAAGTGGATGATATGTTTTTTTTCTTGTATTCGTATCGGCCAATACCTGCATGCGTTGGCTCATCCATAGGTGCAAACAGCAGCCATGCTTTGAGATCATATGGACTGTATGCATTGCTGCTCTCTTCATTTGATTTTGTCATTTTGTTTGATTTTTTCATGATTTTTTTTTATTTAGACCTGTGTAACATTTGATATCCTTCAATTTTTATCATGTAAATAGAAGGGAAAAAAATTATTGCCTCCAAGAACCGGCCTAAACATATAGGCAGCACAATCAGGCATCCGTTAGACTGAAATAATCGGTATCCACCCTTAAAAAACTCTGCATCAGTCATATCCAGAAATTCATTTTGGGGGAAATTATTGCAGATATGAATTTTTGATATTCAAAACTTTTTTTTATGTATCCATATTTTAGTATAGAGAAAACTTGCTTTTAATCAGAAACAGTTTTCTTGTACAGTAGGTCTCAGAGAACTGCTGCATTGTACTGCTACACAGTTATTCAGACAACATCTAGAGCAGGGGTGTCAAACTGGTTCCAGAAAGGGCCGTGTGGCTACAGGTTTTCTTTCTAACCAAACAATAGCAACCCAGACTCCATTCATCTTATCAAGTCATAATGTTCAGATTGGACTCCCTTGATGAGATGACTGGAGTCTGGTGTGATATTGCTTGGTTGGAGAGAAAACCTGACTGGTCCTAATGTCTCTTTGAATTGGGTTTACAATGTAATTAAGTAGTCAGAATCATTTATAGAGGCTTAGACATACACATACACCCCAACTAAAAGGCTTGACAACATTGACAGCTTCACCCTGACATGGACTAAGTAGAAGAAATGATGAATGTTTGACATGTAAACATTTAAATTTAGATCTGTTAATCTTAGAATCTAGAGTATTTGAGACAAAAATCCCACTTTAATATAAAACATATAGTAAATATGTGTAGGTTTTTTTTTTATTCAGATTTACATTCAGCATCATTGGTAATAATGGTAAATATGTGACATCCTGCATTTAAGGTTTGGTTAGTCTGCTCTGATTTGTTGTTAATCTGCTTAAATTCTTTTTCTTTTCTTTTGACAAATTAACTTTTAAAACCAAAATTTTGCTGAACTTCATCACGATTTGATCTCATTGGATTTCCAAATGAAAAATTTATCACTGGGATCATCGATCGCTGTAACTTGGGAGAAGGGTAATATTAGGTATATACATTAGTAATCCTCACAAAATATACAGAATGTATTTATACCTGGCTTTAATTCACACTAAACAGTGCTCCACATGCGTTAAAATTAAACTTTAAATTAAAAACCTGAACAGAAGCTGCATTGTGTCCAACAAATAAAGGTCTCAATTCAGCCTTCACTTAATTTTTTTTTTTTTTTTTCATGTATTACAGAATAAATCCTGATTAGGCTTAAAATGTACATTTCAAACAACACGGAGAAGGAGCTTTGTTTCATTAGAACTAGATTTGAAAATGGAAAATAGGCAGGTATTAATTAAACCTTTCATTAAGCTCACATTTGTGTGTTTAAAATTTTATTTTTTTCTATTGATCTGATAATTTATAGATCTGTTTTAATAAGCTATTGGCACAAAATCAACATAATAAATGGGAAAAAAACATTGTTAAACTTGGTGAATAGGCTTCTGAAATAAATTATGTAT